CAGCCAGAGGGTCCCTCAGCCCTGCCGGTATCAGGGACGATGGCGGAGCTGAAGCACGGAGAACTTTCTGGACAAACGGCCACAGATGCTGGACGTTTCCACCGCATGTTGACCTGGATCTCTATTGTTAGAGAAGCGGGACAGTAGACACTCACCTGAATGTGCAGTGACTGAACATTTAACCTCATCTCCACATTTCCTTTTTTATTCTTTTTGTGGCCTTTCACAAGGACAAGCTTTTTCTTAATGTATTTATGGCATCCACTTTATAATTATAAAAAATGTGATGAAATTCCCCCGCTGTGTTTCCTAGCTGAAACATATGTAGTAATGCTAAGCCTTCCGATGTTAGAAAGGTAATTTAAAGCGCCTCGAAACATGCTACAACCCTCGAGTGTTTATAGTTTGTTTGCAAACTAGTTTGTCTCAAAGGAAAAAATGTAAATGTGTACAAAGTATTTCTACATAAAGAAGAATCCAGAATAAACAATTGTAGTTTTGAGAGTATTGGGAGTGTGAATGTATGTTTGTTTTCAGTGCTACTACATGGCATTCAGCAGCTTGTCTCACTCTGACACCCCCCGTTTACAAACTGACCTCTGACAGAGTTTCACAGGGGGAGCATCAGGGGCGCTGCCTTTTTTGGGACCAAATAGCAGTGAGAGAAAAAATGCAAAACACTTTCATTATCCAGCACTCACATTCCTCGGAGGAAGCCACCCCATGGATATTTAAAGAGCTATGTCAAAATATGTAGCGTAATGAGCAACGCTAAACATTTTACTGCAAACCTCGAGACACAGTTTTGCAGTTAATCTTTACAACTGCTCAGGAGTTATATATATTTCATAACATTGTCTGGGAAGCATTGACAGCCCATGTGCTCTCATGGATAAATGTGCTAAAATGAAATGACTGCTGTGCTGGCATTTTTTGTTTCATAGGGTAGCTGTAGGGAAAAGTACTTAATGTTTCCATTCAAGGCTGGTGAAAGAGTCTCCCTGGTTGTTTTGTGTAACAGAAGGCACTGCCACACCTGAGCAGCCTGGTGTGAAGTTTCCCTTTCTTTACACCCGGGTGTTCAAACTGCAGCAGCTGGTTAAATAATCTCTGGGAAAGGGAACATCTACAAATAAACAATTTACCCAGCTGCAGCAGTGTGAGAACTCACCAGCTGTGGACAATATTTACCCCGAAACAAGAGCAGCCATAAGGGGAAAGTACCTGATACCTAAACCTGACACTTGTCTTTTGTGAATGGTGCAATGTGTAAGAGTGTGAGATGCCGGGTCAGTGTGTGTCTTATAATAGCCGTGACCTCCCGGGAATCCTTTAGATGTGACTCACAGTGTCAAAGGTGACGTGGTTACATGACAAGCAGGCGTAGGGTTTCTAAATCCTGACACAGAAGTGATCAAGTTACTTTTTATACCACGCATACGTAAAGCATGTTGTGTTTAATTAAACATCGGTGAAGAATGCAAAGTAAAACATTGACTCAGGCCAGTTGGAAAAAAAAGTTGTATTCTCTACAGTGGAAGAATATTAAAACATTTAAGGATGCACAAACACCCACAATGTACCATCTGATCCACATAGTTTGCAAATAAGTTTCCTTTTCTTTTACTTGGCAGAATAGTGTTTTAGATTAGTAGTTTTGGGGTTGTAAAGGTCAATATGCAGTAGATGATTTGTAAGCGCTCCACCCACACGGTTACTGCTCTGCCTTCGTTGCCACTTCAGGGTAAAAAGGAATATGCACTTAAACAAATTGACTCACCAAAGGCTTTGTTTTAAAGCAGTCAAACGAGTCGCCCATTTCCCCTGCGATCTAATTAGTGTACTTGCTTTTTTCTTTTCTTTTTTATATACTTTATTAATCCCCGTGGGGAAATTGTTTCTCTGCATTTGATCCATCCTAGTGTTAGGAGCAGTGTGCTGCCATTTTGAACGGCGCCTGGGGACACGGTATAACTTCCTCCATCTACTGGTTGAACTTGATAAAACCTGGTTTTGCTGCAAGAGCCCTCCAAACAAATCCTTGAAGTTGATATTTTCTCCTAAAATGAAGGGTGATATTTGCAATGTGGCATCATTAACTATAATATTCATCCATAATCAGTTTTGTCTGGTTTGTTACCTCGGTTCTCTCTCTTTGCACTATGCAAATCAAATGGTGGAACAGATATTGTTTTATTACAAATCAGACATTAAAACTGACCTAAAACCCCATCTCCAAATTGCAAATGATCAACACAAGTTGATTTAACATGGCTAAGGCACAATAATTGTTTCCTCCAGCAGCTGAGGATACTTCTTTGCCTGTGCAGCTGCTACATGCTCTCATCTCTGAATATTCTCAGAATGACAGCTTTTCCCAGCAGAGGAAACAAAACCAGAGCAGGAAAAAATCACTCACTGCAGCTGTTTGGTCCGACAACACATTTAGTCTCGTTCGATTATAATTCTCAAGCAGTAAAATGTATTTGTATGGAAGAAAATGTGGCCCATTTGGAGAGTAGCCTGGCCCCTGGGAGCAGTAACCAGCCAGGCCCTGCACTCTTTCACTCTGCAGGGACAGATTCCAGTTACTGAGCCTGGGGGCCAGAGACAGCCATGGACCCTAATGTCTTGACGCCTGAGGAGGATAGCATTTAGTTATATGATCAGCTGAGATGGTACAAAAAGACATCAAACTATAAATGCAGACCTGAAGCAGTCCTGTGATCCTCAGCAGTGGATGTCCTCTGCTGACTAGTGAGGCAGATTAATGGACTGAAAAATAACACCTGGGCTATACATTACCCTCCAACCAATCCTCTACCAAGCTTGGCTCCACCAAAATTACATATTAACCTGAAAAAAAAACGTGTTCTCCTCTATCTTTCTTGTGATAACTTGCACTCCCCCCTGTTTCCCGTTAATTCCACACACTGTTTCTGTTCTGAACACGGTGCATGAAGAAACCTGGCATGAATACAACAGTCAAATAACTTGCATACTGTAACTGATTTACTAAGCTTCAAACCGTCCATTATCTTCTGTTTTGTCATGCAGTAACAGACAGTGCTTTAGTTGCAGCAGTTCTGACCAGTCCTCTTTGAAACATGAATAAGACTTTTCAGAGTTTGTATGTGTGCTTTATTAAATCACTATTGATCAATCATGTCAGGACAATGTTATCAATAAGCTAAATGAATGAAACAAGAGAGACACAACTACCCATCGACACACACACACACACACACACACACACACACACACACACACACACACACACACACACACACACATGGTCGGGTGTGAACATGGCGACCTGCTGCTGTGGGAAGCCGTCAGCTGCCAGGCCGACCTTGTGGATGTCAATGAGTGTTGGATCAAACACTGAGAGGCAGAATCAGACTGCAGCCAGATGGTTACTTTCCCAACATGAAAGAAAATATCATGAAGTTTAAATGTTGTATTTAATTCAGATCACTACAATACACTTTTTTGGCATGAATGTTACTAAAACAGTATTATCAGAGCGACAAGTAATATTATTCAGAAAAGAAGAGGACCAAGGTGAAATTCATAAAAATCAAAAAGTACCAGTCTCTGTGTGTGTGTGTGGTGTGTGTGTGTGTGTGTGTGTGTGTGTGTGTGTGTGTGTGTGTGTGTGTGTGTGTGTGTGTGTGTGTGTGTGTGTGTGTGTGTGTGTGTGTGTGTGTGTGTGTGTGTGTGTGTGTGTGTGTGTGTGTGTGTGTGTGTGTGTGTGTGTGTGTGTGTGTGGCCTAGCATTACTATACTTGTGGGGACCTAAATCTGTTTACACAGTCACTTGTGGGGACTCGCCTCCCTTATGGGGACAAAATGGAGGTCCCATAAGGGGAATCATTCATTTTAGGGTGAATACTTGGTTAGGGTTAGGGTAAGGGTTAGGGGAAGGGTTAGGCATGTGTTGGTTAGGGTTAAGGTTAGGATAAGTCTCCAGGAAATGCATGTAAGTCAATGTAATGTCCCCTGAAGTGATGTATACATGGTGTGTGTGTGTGTGTGTGTGTGTGTGTGTGTGTGTGTGTGTGTGTGTGTGTGTGTGTGTGTGTGTGTGTGTGTGTGTGTGTGTGTGTGTGTGTGTGTGTGTGTGTGTGTGTGTGTGTGTGTGTGTGTGTGTGTGTGTGTGTGTGTGTGTGTGTGTGTGTGTGTGTGTGTGTGTGTGTGTGTGTGTGTGAGAGAGAGAGAGAGAGAGAATATCTGTTTCTGAAAACAAGGAATCATTCACAAAATGTAATGTAAACTAAAACAAGACAAATAATTATATTAGTCAAGTTTTTTTTAATAAACACAAGTGTTCAATTTTAGGCCCACTGACCCAGGTTGAGTGAAGTATATTTAAAATAAAAAGTTTAAGAAATATGTAGTCAATATGAGATCTACAATTGTAACGTCTGTGTTAACTAAAGACAAGAAACAGACAATAGAAAGTGCCTGCAGTGATTCAGATCTATCTCAGGCTGAATTAGCTTTAAATGTTTTAATCCAAATGTGGCCTTCCTGTAGCACAGCATATGGAGAGATCATGTGTGTGGCAAAATGACCAGTGAAATTACAACCACTTATTTCATATATTTTACAGTTGTTTAATCTGTAGTTAACTGAAGGAGAAAAAAACGCTCATTTTGTGTCATGTTAGGTGCTATAGCTTATCCGAACACCAGAGGGCAACATAAGCTTTAACAAAACTAAAGTGTCCCTTGTTCCAATGGTTCCAATACTTCAAAAATCTAAAACCAGGTAAACAACATAATATTTTATTTTACATGTTAAATATATTATCATAAGGGTACTGATTATTCACTTAGTTATTCACATCAGGTGTTTTGTCTACTTGCAAATGTAAGGGCCTTGCTCATTAGGATTGATTCACACATTCACACGTTTAGCTATGCCAGCGTAAAATTGATTACCTAATTTTTCTGATCCATTCAGCTTATAAAAAGTAATGACAACAATACATTTTGACCAATTCAACTATTTAATAAAAAAACACACAGCACACAATGAAATCGACAGATTTTGGCAAGAGTTACATTTTGGCAGTCAGGTTGATTTACAATTCAAAAACTTCAACAAATGGCAAGGATTAATGGCATTGAAAACATCTGAAACTCATTTATTCTCTTTTACGTTGTTTCAAGTAATAAAATCTAAATCTGTTGCATCAAAACAAAACAAATACTTTAAAAAGGATTCTTGTAAATTAGATTAAACATAATAAAATATATGTGTTTTGGACTAAAGTTGAGGCAAAAAGTCATACATTTAACAAAAAAAGACTACATCAACTGTGGCAAGACATCTGGCATATAATAAAACTTCATAAAACTAAATCTCAAAGAACAAATACTGGCACTTGCTCCTGAACACAACATCTGCATTTGTTGCAGGAAAAAAGTAAACAAGAAACTAAAAAAATAATCATAAAGAGCGATACCAACCACCAAAACATTTCCAGTTAAAATGATTGGAAAGTAGTTCATGTTGATTCAGGCGTTTGCATAAAAATGTTGATGAAAATGTTCAAGCACAGTGCAATAAGCTGTACGATATAATACTGTGTGTAACATAAATTAGCCAACTGAACCCAGATATCTTCAGTAAAATTTCAACAGGGAATGACTTTGTGGCAACTTTGAGGGCTTCTTGTGTTTGGTTATTGTGTGAATTTCTATCAGAGACCCTGAAAGCATATACCAGGAGCTGCTTGAAGATGGTGGAGCAGGTTTTAGGCATCCGTCACTGTAACAACTGAACTTCTGGCAAACAGGTTGGCGAGCAGAGCGTCCGGCTTCTTCACATCTCTCAAGCTCCTCCTGCAATGGAAACACAGTTTGCAGTGAGCGTCTCATTTCATTAACCTAAACATCAGTGTGTGTGTGTGTGTGTGTGTGTGTGTGTGTGTGTGTGTGTGTGTGTGTGTGTGTGTGTGTGTGTGTGTGTGTGTGTGTGTGTGTGTGTGTGTGTGTGTGTGTGTGTGTGTTTGATGTGTAAGAGTACTCACACTTTCAGCACTGCCCCCACACACAGCGACAGCACCAGAATGGCAAGGATGGCAAAAGCGATGTAAACATAGACAGGTACAATGTCCCATGGGTTAGATGCTACCTCTCTTTTTTCTAAAACACACACACACAAATACACTTTAAATATTTATTCATTTTATTGTCTTATCCCCCGATTAATAAAGGATTTATTCAATTGATTGGTTGGTTGGTTGACAAAGGTTGACAAAGATTGACAAAGGTTGACAAAGATTGACAAAGGTCAGGTTTATTTACAGTTTACTCAAATAATAAATAGAACATCTATGAATTAACATAGACGCGTGGACTAATATTTCTTCACAAATGTCACAGAATATAAAGACTAAAGGATTAAATTATACTCAATAAAACCTGCCAACAAGGGCAACAACTTGATGAGGTGAATATCAGCAACACATTGAACATGAGGCAGGAAGCTGGATACAACAGTTATGGGTGTCCTTCTCTAATTGGCCAGGTTACAATTATTGAATGGCCGTGCAGAAAAGAAACCTCATGAAACAGACAGATTTCCACAAGGGGGCACTCAGTGATTACTTAAAGACCTTTTAAACACAATTTGATGCCGACATCAGGGTTCCTCCAGGTAAGTGTGACTCTCGAGGAATTGTTTATTTAAACACAAAAAGCACTTAACATAATTATTACTGATTTGGAATGCCAGATTACAAATAAATCCCTCAGCAATTATTTCACAAACAATCACTACATATAACTCATGGGAAATTCCAGAAAAAGACTGGGACAGTATTGATGAGCCTTTTCAAAATATTGTATGTTTTCCACAGTAAGCTAGTTTGTCACAAGCTGGTAACCTGATTTCATGCTAGAAGTTGTTTTGTTATAGAGAACAATAAAATACTGGTTTTACTGTGTTTTCCCATCATAATGTAATCTTTACATTTGAAACATCTTTACCTGGTTGGCATGTCTGAGGACTCCACTCACTCCAGAAGCCCTTGTTTGCACAATACTTGCTCAACTTGGACCGAACCCTGAAGCAGTTTCTCTGAGTGTCGTGGATGGAGGGCAGTTTTAGACTCTTCTGATTGGTTAAAATCTGTTGCTGTGAATGACAAAAACAAAGTATATCATTATTTGAATATAATATAAGTTAGAGTAAGCAAATTAAAGCACATAGCCAAATGCTTTACAGGCTAAACGCAACATTATTCACCATTCATGTAGCCTATTGTTTGGTTCATTGGGTTGTGTCACACTAAGGTTTGATACATCTTCTACTTGCTTCTTGCAGCACCAACTAGACACACACAAAGAGTTGGCACATGGTGAAATAAATGCTGACATATAGCAGGCAAAGACCCGGATGAATGTCTCAGGAGAGAAGGTCTTAGAAACTTAATAAAACTATAAAAAAGTAAGCTCTAAAAGTAAAGTTAATCTAAATTATATCCAAATCAAGATACAGTCTATTGCAATTTCCAAATAGCTAGATGCCCAATATTTGTCAAAATACATATTGAATTAAATTCTGTCATGCTGAAAATATTTCCTGCCTTCTACATAATTTCAGGTGTGTGTGGACTGTCAATGTGTGAAGCTCAAGTAAAAGAAATCTGAGTGAAATGGAGTTGTGGAGAGTTGCATGTTCTTTGGTTTCTCACGTCATTGAAGGCAATAAGTGAACCGTGCTCCTGTTCTAACGCCCCATTGAATCTGTCTGCCTTACTGGAAGTGTGAGGTCACAATCTGATTCACTGGCAATTCAATATTCTACCTCGCCCAGATGGTGGTTTTGAGTCTACACAAAACGTTACTGATAATTGCTCTTAGTCCTGTAAAATGAGTGAATCAGCAAACAAATAATGAACAAAGCGATTGATGATCCAAGAAGGCTTAGCAAGCAAACTAATCTCTAAATGGACATTTTGGGAAAGGTCTTTGATATAAGAATTACATGGGAATGCACATTTTAAAAATAGATAGTGCGGTAAAGGGAATTTCTGAATATTTACTATATGAGTATAAGACTCGAAATTGGCCTTATCCTGTTGTATGCAAGTGACTTGGCAGGGATTTTTATAACTGTTGTACATTTCACAATTTATGTGGAAAAAATTCTAGTGAGTGCAGTTAGTTTCTCTCAACAGAAACAAATGTTCATAATAAGTTAACCATACCGAAGTCATTTTCCCATCAGGTCCCTCTTGATTGTGTTCCACCTCCCACTCCAGGCAGTGAGCAGGGATCTTCCCAGCAGGACCGTTCCAGCGGAGATCCAGCTGCGCATCAGGATCTGTTCGCAGATCAAGCTTCTCTGTTGTTCCCGGCTTTACTGCAGAAAAAATACAACAACTAGGAACAGATTTCAGATTGTGACAGGAAGCTGAGAGGATCAGATAAACCCCCCAAACTCCTGCTCAAACGATGAGTGCGGTAATCACTCTAATCTCTCTGAGTTGTGGTTTAACTACTCCAACATGCATGCACCTTGGTTTTGGATTTGAAGGGAGACAAATGCTGGTTTCAGGGGTCCTTCCTGGGAGGAGCCATTCACACAGAAGTTAACATCAGTGAATTCAGGGAGGGAACTCTCTGTGAAGTTGCAGCCGCTCCTGGTTTCACCTGTTTTGACATATGTGGGACATTCCTCTGCCTGCTCCAGCTCCTTGTGCCTACAGATCAGATAACAAACAGATTAATGGGAGCTATCTGTTCATCCAAACAGTTGTATTGCTAGTGAGTGAAATGTGAAGAGGTTTAAGATGATCTCACATGGTACAAAGGCATTCTTTTCATGGTACTAAAAAACTCTCAGAATTCAGTAAACTGTTTTTTAGGATAATAAACTATTCTCAGCACAACTGAGGCAGTTTGATCAGAGAAGTGGACAAAGCCAAGGGATCAGCAACGTCTATGATTCTAACTTACAGTCATGATTACCTTTAAACATTTTCAAAGATTTCTATCTAATAGATACTTCTTTCTGAACCAAAGTGGTGGATTGACTGACCCGCTCAAGCGGCTATAAGTCTCATAGTGGTCACATCACATACCAGAAATAAAGATGTTGCTGTGAGTTGGCCGGCAGCTTTGGGCTTCTTCCCCAATTGCACTCCACGTATTTCATGTTATGGTAAACACAGACAAAATCCTGCACAGGGGTACCAACGCCTAGAGGAAGAAAAGGTGATAAACAAATCATATATGTTCTTATGTTGTTCTTCAACATCTGACAGGACTGACCTGTGCTGGGAGGTTTCTGGACCACTTCAGTGTAACTGGAGCTCTTGATCAAAGTGTCGTTGGTGCACGGGCCTCTCAGCAAAGTGTACACTCTCACTCTGACATCTTTCATCAGATCAAACTGGGCTGTGTAAGTCCTCTTAAACGTCCTGATAGCCTGCAAATCCAGAAACACAACCATGGTATTTACTAGGGATCGACCGATATGGCTTTTTCAAGGCCGATACCGATACCGATTATTAGTAATCAAGGAGACCGATAACCGATATTTGGAACCATATACATTTGCAGTAAAAAAAAAAATCTTGGTGTCAAAATGTAGAATAACACAAACTCCAACACAACTCAACACAACTTCTTTGAAATGCATTTAAGCATATATTATGTTTAATTAACTTTTAAACATCTTACAACTGGTTTCCTCTCTGTGCCCTTTTCTTTAGTGCAGTCATCTGCAATGAGTTAGAGAGAGAGACAAGAAGTGGGGCTGCAGGCTGACATGCTTAACTAACAATAATGCTTAATTTATTATATCTGTCTATCTAGCATAACATCCCAATAAGCTGCTAGCAACTGCAAAACACTAGTGCTAGCTAATGTTTTGAAAACTATTAAAAGTGAGGCTATTACAGTAGACCTAACGTTAGTCTAGTAGCCTCACTTCTAATAATTTGCTAAACATTTGCTAGATACATGTTGGCTAGCTAATGAGCTTCACATATCAACCTGAAAAACTGTGAGGCTCCACTCCACTCGCAGCCCCCCCCTTTTGATATTTCTGAGTCAGGTTCCTGGAAACCTGACGCTTTTCTTCCCTTTAAGCTTTTATTTATAGTCTGTTATTGTCAGTCAGTCCTGACTCTTGTTTAAAACCAAATGCAATAATACTATACTTTATGAGACTTGGCTGTGGTAAAATGATATTCAAACTCAAGCTGCAATAGCATGCTGGACTTTTTAAATCCACGTGCAATTGGTCCGTCTGAGCTTCATTCATGCATTTTCATATTCATCCACCACACACAGATAAGATCATTATCTTAGTCATAAATTATTAGTCTTCTCACTTTTCATTCTAACCTGACTTAAACACCAGCATCCGTTCATTCATAGTCAATCATCCCTCTGTGGGCAGGATAAAAAACAATGACAGATGTTTCTAAGAATGAGGCTTTGCTGCTGATTTCCACTCTCATACTTGTATTATGTTTACGGTATCTCAATAATTCCAAATAGACCAACAAAAAACCTTTTGATGGTTTTTACAGAATTGGTCCCCAAAACTAAATCAGTGACTCAACACTGTACATTGTATAGTTTATTTATTCAGTATATGGTTCCATATAAGATTTTAATAAAGTGGTTAGCACTTACACTCCAGCTGTCAGTGTATGAGTTGAAGTACTCCAGCTGATAGAGATGAGAGCACTCTGTCTCATTGATCTGACTGGCTGGGGGGCTCCATGAAATCTGGAGACGTCCGAAATGCCCAAGGTCTGATATCACAAGATCGTCAGGAGGATCCACTGCAGGGGAAAACATATATTTAACAATTATTTAATGAACAGTGTCTTTTTATTGAAAATATTTTTTTTTTAATTAAACGGTTAATATTGAATCTGTGTTCAGACACATTTCTTGTAGACATTTGCACAAACTAATTAGCTCCCACACTTGCAACACCTGCAGAACTACACACTTAATTTGCGTCCCCAGTGAATGCATCTGCTTTTATTTTTGACTGGTTTCCTCGTCATGCATGCGACTGATAAGTTAAATATGATGTAAACAAAGTTGGACCCACCTGTAAGACCATCGCAGTGCATGCTCTCCCTGCAGGTTATTAAGAGCAGCATCACAGCCATCCAGGATACACTCGCCATCTTCTTATAACCAAGAAGACTATAAAAAACCTCAATAAAGAAGTTGTACGATTTATTTAGTTTGACCAGATTAAGAAAAAAAATTAAAAACCTTCCCAAAAATTGGTACAAAATTAACCATTTAATATTAAATCAAGTATAATTAAATAATAAAAACTATAAATATAACTTTAATTCAAACTCAATGTAGCCTACTTACGTTGCGATAGAGAGCGTGTTCCTTTAAAGCAGGATCAGTCTTGTGTGGGCAAACACTGAGGGAATATTCCGAGAGGGAGGGGCGTCTGTTCTCCGGTGGTGTCTCACTCTGCTGAGGGAAGTCGGTGAGACATGGTCCCTTATCCGCAACTTCGTTTTGGCGAGAATACGATGTGCTGAGGAGGAAGGGGGCTGGCATGGGGGTGTATGCTAATCATTACGATGTTGCCAGAATTTGAGAATGGAAAAAATACTTTACCTGGGAAGTCTGCCCACAAATACATACTAAATAATGATCTCTTGAATCTCCTGCAGACAAAGCAACCAACTTGAATCTCAATAAGTCACTGAAATGATTAAATTACTCTGTTGGAGTGCAGTTTATCCAATTCGAAAAATGTTGTATGATTATTCCCAGCCAGTATGGTCATGAAGGATGGGTCATGATCTTATATATACACAGTCTATGGTCATGACCGAAAGAACGAGATCGCGGATACAAGCGGCCGAGATGGGTTTTCTCCGCAGGGTGGCTGGTGGCTCAGGTGAGAAGTTCGGTCATCAGGGAGGGACTCGGAGTTGAGCCGCTCCTCCTTCGCGTCGAAAGGAGCCAGTTGAGGTGGTTCGGGCACCTAGTTAGGATGCCACCTGGGCGCCTCCCTAGGGAGGTGTTCCAGGCACGTCCAGCTGGGAAGAGACCAAGGGGTAGACCTAGGACCAGGTGGAGGGATTATATCTCTTCGCTGGCCTGGGAGCGCCTTGGGATCCCCCAGTCAGAGCTGGTTGATGTCGCCAGGGAAAAGAAAGTTTGGGGCTCTCTGCTGGAACTGCTACCCCCCGACCCGACCACGGATAAGCGGGAGAAGATGGAAGGATGGATTCCCAGCCACAATAATGTTTTCTGTAGTTGCTGCAATCATACAAACATACACAACCAATATTCAAATCATGATAAAATATTGTAATAACTCAAAATTAGATAGCCGAAAGTCTTATTGAATTAAATCTATATGAAAAAAACATCTGCTGAAACTATGCAAATGTGCAGTGGTCAAGGAAACTAAGCTAGTTAGTGTGAGATCAATCTAATATACATGTTGACTATATTTAATATGATAACTATAGCCAACATGTAACCTTCACACCTCAACCGCTCCCTGAGGTGTCTTCACCACGAGACACTAGCAGAAAAAAAGGGCATAATCCATCACTGGCTTTCCCAAAATCCTGTTGTTTTATGTTAAGACAGACTTGGATGACTGCCTTTGAAGATGAGTTGTTGAACTTGATTTTGTTCTGCCATGCACCACATCAGTGCCAGTGCATTTCCTTACTGTAGGTACTGTAATTAAGTACAATTAATAATAATATATAAATCTTCACTCAACTTCAATTATTTGATAGCTTTAGTAAAATACAATACACAAATAAATTATAATGCCATGACTATATAGTTTAAGACAACAAGCAGTATATAAATAGCCTCGCATACAGTATACTAGCAGCTACATTAGAAGGCTTACCCATCAATGCATCAATACTTATTTGCAATTTTTTATTTAGGATAGTTTGATGCTCAAACTTACTCATGTTATATACTTGTCATAAGTACATTTGTTCACACCGGATGTTGACTGCCAAGCCTCCCAAGGACCGAAATTACCTTGCAGTCTTGTAAACTACAAATAATGTACAAATATGGTAGGGTTCTGCATTTTACTAGTGAACGTGATGCTCACAAAAACTGGAACTTATGACAAAGTGTCTTGGTATTTCGTGGTTGGCATGACCTGGACATGGTGTGTGTGTGTGTGTGTGTGTGTGTGTGTGTGTGTGTGTGTGTGTGTGTGTGTGTGTGTGTGTGTGTGTGTGTGTGTGTGTGTGTGTGTGTGTGTGTGTGTGTGTGTGTGTGTGTGTGTGTGTGTGTGTGTGTGTGTGTGTGTGTGTGTGGTGTGTGTGTGTGTGTGTGTGTGTGTGTGTGTGTGTGTGTGTGTGTGTGTGTGTGTGTGTGTGTGTGTGTGTGTGTCACGCCATTCCTCATCTCCCTTGTTGTCTTGCCTATTCTAACTCTGGCCTCTCCTCTAATCTACTCTGGACCAGATGCAGACAAGATGAATCAAGGGTGAATCAGAAGGGCAACTATGGACTTGGGCAAAGACTTGAACAAAAATATTGCCACAGCCAGGAACAGCCAGGAACAGCCAGGAACGCATGATTGTTAGCATGTGTACCTGTCAATTAAAGTGCTGACACGCTATCCAAATCTCAATAACACCACCATGGAACTGGTAACATCTAAACACTCAGGTCATTCCTTGAAATGACGTGAGAAGTTCATACTGGATCAACTTGACAGCTGTAATGATTTATTTTTCCCAAGAGCTTTTGTGCTAAAAGGACAGCTTATAGTTGAGCTGTGTGGCAAATTAAGTCTAAACGAAGTGGATTGCGATATCTCTAAGTGAGAACAGTACAGGTTGGTTATACATTCATTCAAAATCAGAGTGAAAAGTGGCAAAAAGTGAAGCATTGACTGAACCAAGCCCTAAACATGAAAAATGCTTTCGCCTGATTTTTATAACTGTACATTCCTGCAGATTGATTGCTGACATACAGTAGAGCTAACGGCTATAGGCTGAAAAGGGCTCAAGGGTGAAGAAACACAAATACACCCTGAGCAGCTGGATACCTAATTTAAGATTATAATTGGTGTTCTTGTTTTGACTTACAGTGTTTATATAACTGTATTTCAATCAGGAAAGGCCTTAATGTTGTGTCTCGTCAAATGTGTAAGTTTTGTTAATGTATGATGTCTGTCATTTCATGTTTAGTCAGGTATTTATGTCAAGTCAGGTTTTCAAGTCATATCTGTCTATTTATGTCATTCATCTCTAGTCAGTCCCCGTGTTTCATGTCATGTCTCGTTTTCCATTTTCCTGTTTTATTTTGTACTTACCTCTTGTCTTTCATTTCAGGCCCTGTTACTTCCTCCCCTTGTGTGTTTTCCCACCATCGTCAGCGTCTGATTGTTTCCACCTGTTCCCACTCACCTCATGTTTAAATAGTCCTGTCTCACCCTGTCCTGTGTCAGTTTGTCTTGTTTGTTTCCCCGAATGGTCGTGCCAAGCCTCAGCAAAGAAAGGATAGTTTTCACTCATGTCAGGTTGTTATTTTTGTTGTCTTAAGTTATTCTTAAATTCTCTTTTTGTTACGCTTTGTTTTTTCCTCCTTGTGAGCGCTTTTTGTTAAATCCAGTACCTACTCTGTTAAGAGGGATTATCTGTTCTTTGAAATTAAAATACATTTGTTACATTCAAGACTTTGTCTCTGGGTCGTGCATTTGGGTTCTCAAGTTTGTGTCGAGGTTGTGACACTTAAGGTGATTAGAACCCCTTGTGATATCTGTTATGTTTATGCATGGGGTTGTTGTGTTGTTTCCTGTTGTTGCTCCTTTTACCCCTCACTACTCTGTCTCTCCTTCTCTGCAGGGCTGGTGTGTGAAAGGGGGCGTGGCTGATATTCTCTTGGCTGCAGATGAGGTACACCTGTTCCCACTCACCTATTCAACCTTCTCTTTAAGAGCCTGGCCCTCACCTCACCTCTCTGCCAGAGAATTAAATGCTGTTCGACAATCCAGAGTGCCTTTCTGCAGCCTTGAGTCTAGTTTTGTTCATTTTGCAGTTTTTGAGCAACTTTTTGAGTTTTTGCCTGGGACGTTTTCCCTCTGCTTTGTTTTTGGACCTTTCTGAAGCCAGCCAGCTCCCTGTCTTCAGTACCTGCCTTGGACTAGCTTTCTTTATTAAACACATTGAAACTTTATTTGTGTCAGTCTCTGCTTTAGGGTCCTAAGTAGTATCCAAATGCCACAATATCAATCTTAAGTATTTAATGATAGGATGCACAAGGTCTGGATTTAGTGAGGAGATCAACCTGGGCGCTGGATATGATGACTGGAGGTGAATAAGGTGAAGGAGGGCTGCAGCCATGAAGCCTGAAAGGTCAGCTCTTGTCAATAGAGAGTAGAATAGATCTAAAGTCTGACAGGCATGCAGCACGATGACTGGCTGGTTGTGGTAACATTATTTGACCAAAAGAGTTACGCCCACGTATATTAGAGGCAGCGAAACAGGATGGATCACAAGTGCAGTCATCCTGATAGAACTTTCGCCAAGGTTTATAATTATAACTAGACATTCCCACTATTTGCTCCATCTTGCAACAGGGAGATGATCCCATGCACACAAGGGGACTCGTTGCTTATATGTACAACGAGCTGGTATATTTCCACAATAAAGAACTGCATCAGCAGATGGTGGCACATTAAAGAGGCCCTTTTATGCTTTTTTGGGGTTTCTCCTTTCTGTAGATGGTCTGCAAAGGCTACAATCCTAAACTACACTCCACCCCTGTCTGTAAAGCCTCCATTGGACTCCTTTGTTAACCTCAGTAACATACCGACATCACTATGTAACACTTTTTCCACATATTGTACGCAATAGGCTAAGGGTCGGGACATCTCTAAGCGGTTGACCAATCACAACAGAGCCGGCCAATTAACCAATCAGAGCAGACTGGGTTCTGGTTTCAGACAGAGGGCGAAAAGAGGTGCTGCAGCACAGGCAGTATGAGAAAAAACAAACACTTTTTGAACATTAAAGCATGGAAACAGCAAAGAAACTATGAACCTGAAAATGAGCACAATAGGGCCCTTTAAGTTACTGTATGTGGCAGATCCTGAGGTCAATGCATGTAAAGTAAAGAAAGACTGGGCTGCAAAGAATTTGACTTTATTTTATATTGACCATGTTTTTTTAAGAAATCCCTGGATTTTTTACAGATGATATGTACAGAAGTTCAGCTTCAGCCATTTGTTATTCTTGCATGCATTTGAGTCATTACAAATAAATACAAAAAGCTTATATACACACACTCACATTTTCTTGGCAGTGTAGTATTTAGACATGACTCACTGTTTCACTGTTTTCTTTGGATGAGATGACTATTGTTAAATCCTAAAATAAATAAATCTGACGGCAGGTCTGATACAAAAAAAGGATGACAGATACAGTGTAACGAGGCAGAACACCGCTTGAGGTTAACACATAACATCGAAAATCACATTTCTGAATGTCTATAATGTTTTTGTTACAGGTTTGTAAAGGAAGTGCAACGAAAAAAAAGGGCTTGATCCATCACTGGCTTTCCCAAAACCAATAAACAGCATATTTTCTAACTTGCTTCGATACATCATAAAAAAGACTTGCCCAATCGATAGAACCGTTCTTAAAGTAAACTCTATGTTGACAGATGATGGCAATCATAATACATTTCATCAGTACAGTTTTCACATCTGCATCGTTCCTCCAAATAGGGTCAACATTTAAATAAAATAGGTGTCAATTTGGACTTAATATGTTCGTAAAGGGAGATATTCATCACTAAAATCATTCCTGAAGTCCATACTGGGCCTGAAGAAATCCCCTTTTGATGAATCTCCAGTGTAAAAGATCAGGGACAATGTTCACGATTCTTTTTTAAAGAAACACAATCTAAAGTTAAACTGTTTTAAGATTAAGCAATGTAAACATATCCTTGAAAAAAAATCTTGGTTATCACTGCTAAACATACAATTTCCGTTTTCAGTTTTAAAATCATAACAAAAGCCTTCTTAAGCTCAACAACTCCTGCTCGTTGCTACTAGAGCATCACTACATACATATCTGTCTACAGTGTTGACAGTGCCATGGTTATGCTTTTGCTCAAACACTGAAGGCTGCGAGGAAATGATACTTTCATGATTTGGCACTTAGATAAAGCAATGAAAGATCAGCATGCGGTAGTGTATGCAGTTAAAAAAACAAGAGTAAGGCATCATTGGGAGGTTTAAAAACAGAATTACAGAAGTCACAGTTGTTTGGCTGACAGGTAAATACATCAGGTTGTAAGGTAACAACGACCTGAAGGAAACTGTTAGAAGAGAAGCAAACAAACTTGCACCATAGTCATTTGAAAACATGTAGGGAGATGTACCGGGCCCACGCATGCAGTGCATGATACCCTGGATATAACAAAGGAAAACCATACAGATGGTGAGTCATGTGGAGCCCTTTCCCCAGTGTCCTCCTAGCTTTGAATTGCCATCAATAAAAAGATAAAGGAATCTCAAAGTTTGAATGCAACCCATTATTATTTCCAAGTTGTGAAGTCGCCACATCTTGTGGAAAAAGTGTTGAATCAAGCTGTTTTTGTTTTCTACAGTAAACAAACGTTTCTTTCCACAGGCGAGTGACTTTCAAGGTAATTTTCCCAGCTCTCCCTTTCCATGCAATTTACACGTATGTATATTTATTAATCCTACACCACTTTACCACACATGATCAAACCAATACAACTCACCTTTCTGTGAGCCCCTTATGTGCCTTGATTCATTCGGTGCCAGTACCTTGAAAATGCAAACTCAGTCCCAAAGTCATTTCTTTTCACCTAACTCCAAAATGCAAAGAAACTGTGAGTCATTTAAAAAAAGCATTTGAATATTTATAGTAACATATAGTACAGCAATACAAACCTACAGTAAAAAATGGCAGATATTGTTGGCTAAAGTATATTTGACACATCCGTGTTGTTCCTTCATTGCCTCTAAACCTGGAAGTCAAGACATAGAGTTTGTGAGTATGCTACCTTCAGTAATAATACCTTTGTTGTCCTCACTTGTTGAGAAATTACCAACCAGCTTCTGTGACGCTAACGAAGCGCTGTTAGCTACACTTTCTTAGTTTACATTTCAGATTATGCTTGTGTTTCGTTATACTGTAAGTGCTAAAGATGGGCTATACGTTATGTAGACGCTTATGAAGATGCAGCACGCTGTTGCGCACTTTATGAACATGTGTCCATGTTTTTAAATTGTAATGAGAAATATAAAGTGAGCATTAAAGACGACCTTCACTGTACACTGCTGCAGCCTGAACCAGGGTATTATTAACTGATAGTCGATAGTATTCTGCAGAAGAAAAGGACGTGACATGAGACTCGTGCACACTTCACACATAATGCCCTGCATTGTTTGGTATCCATCCTGCATTTCTTCCTTGGAAAATGAAATCATAAAATCTGTCATAACAGTCAAGTACTGTAGAAGGCTGAGGTTCTCAGGAACAGCATTCAAGGTGTAACCCGCCCGTGGGCCAGGCAGCTGACACTATGAAAATAACCTCAGGTACTCCTTATCAGAGTTTGTTTGTCTATGAAAAGTAGACTATTGTGTTATTTGACATTGAACTCAAAAGTAGAACATCTGTTTCTGTTGCACAACATCTAAAACATCCTGTGAAAAAAGGAGAGGAGAGAAATACAGGGAGAGAAAGGTGTAATCCAGGTACTTATAGTGTAATTAGAGTGCAGCAAGCCGAAAAACGCCCCTCCTTTAAGGCACAATATGTCGTGTTTTTAGGTGTTACCATTTTGTTGAATTTGATGGCATTTGTGGACTTTCAAGATGTTGTCCCATATGTTTCAGCAAGACAGACAATAACCTCATAGTACTTTATGGCACCTTTTGCATCATGATTAGCTTTGTCTTCACTACACATAAAAGCTCTGCTCTGCTTCTTGTGTTGTTAACATGGGCTTCAGTAGCTTAACTAGCAAGTCTTTAATCAAAGCCAGAGGTCATTGAACATGTCTCATCAACGTTTCACTGATAAATGTCCATGTTATGGAGTCTTTCAATTCTCAAATAGTCACTCTATATGTAAAATAAACCATTAAAGCACCTAAATAAAAACCTTTTGGCCGTTATCATTGACAGAACAGTATAATGAAAGTGAAAAGTGAAAAAAAAAAAGTGAAAGTTGAACTTTACTTATATTTATTGATTAAGAAATCTTTACTTTAATTTCCACTATTATTGTTCAGCATTTTGGAGACCTAATTTAAAAAGGTGACCTGCTACTGCCTGGACTAAGTTGAGAAACCTTCTCAAAGTTAACAAGTTCAGCACAAAAAAAACAAAATATTTGAGATCTAAATGTGCAGCTGCATCACACTGGTACCAAGGGGTAGGATGCAAAAAGCAACAACATATAAATATAAAACAAAAGAATAAATACATAAATAATAGAATTTCCCTGAAATAATGAGTTGTAAAAGAAAGCACAAACAGCAGGGGGGCCTGGCAGGAAGATACAAGCGTGCCATGTGTGGAAGGTTTGCGTGGACTGATTTGTGTCGACTATGGCACAAAACTGGCAATGATATTTGGCAATGACTGGAAAGAAAGTATAAAAGCTTTAGAAAAGTCGGATGACAGAATATTTATCAGAAACCTTGCACGAACAATAAAAGAAATGCTATAAAACAGGACCATTATGCTTTTGGCTACAACCAGCACATGTTCTCACAGTGGTCAAATGTCATAGCATGCAGCTTTGTATTTTTTTTTTTTAAAGTAGTCAGTTAAAATCATTTTTAACAGGAAACACCCAGAAAAACCAAATGACTAATGACCTACAGAAAGGTTTAGAAGCACGCCCTGCCTCTCCCTCATGAAAGCAATAGAGTCAGGATTTCGGAACAGATACAGAAGTGAAATTATGTCAAACAAATTACAAAAGGTCGGATCACTTTAGTGAAAGAGTGAGTCACATGTCTGTCATCTCCTCACCGCCATGTTCTCAGTACTGGCCCTTGCAGGTTCAATAAGCACGGAGCATGTTGAGAGGTAAATACATGTCTTCATCAAAAACATTGGATCTTTTCTGTCTCTCCTCGGGGAGTCCAAGCAGCGCAGGAACACACATTGACCCCCAGCAACTAGGAACAGTATACAAGTGGAAATCTGATGGACAGGAAGTAGGGTGGCAGCTGACATCATATAAAAAGACAGAGGAAGTTCCCCTCCTGTCTCATGGTTCAGTCAGGCAGAAGCAGACCCCTGCTGGGTCCTCCCCCCGGGGGGCGCTCTGCTCCCTGGTGGTGGTGGGGGGTCGACTGGAGGGCTGTGGGTTGTACACAGCATTCGGGCTCTTGTCAAACAGCTGACAGGGGGGGTGGGTCTTAATGGAGGCAGATCCAGCAGAGCCTGGATCGTCATGCCAACCTTCACCAGGCCGCGCTCCTCCAGGATGTGATGGGGAAGGCACAGCTTGTCCTGAGTCGAGACACATCAGTTACACTTTATCTTAGCAGATGATTTATAGTTTAATTTGCTGAGGTTGGGAGATTTTCTAACTGTGAAATGTTTAATTAAATGAACCTGTAATCGAAACTGTTGCTTGTTTTCCTTGGGCAAACCTTGGAATCTTTGTGGCTGACTAAATCATGTGTGAGAATTGTTAGTAACAGCACATTGCCTAATTCTCTATAAAACTGATATTTGCATATTATATTTAGAACATTCACCCCTGGAAATGTGTACCTCTGTAAACTTGTAAATGAGTGCATTTAATTAAACTATTGCCTTTTTTATGCTGAAATAACCGTTTTTTTACTGCTTTAATTTGTTTGTAAAAGCAACCTTGCAAATGTCGCAGTATTTAAATAAAATATAAATAAAGAGAATTCTATTCTGTATAATAACTTTGTAAAGGATCAGTTCACTCACAACAAACAAAATACACAATTTCTTTAAGTAAGTAGTAATGAAATATTTAAATAGTATTACCTGTGTGACACCCAGCTTCTTACAGGCATCCAAGAAGTTCTCCACATTCCTACGGCATTTAGCCATGCTAAGCTTTGGCTGGAGGCCGGAATATCAATCATGTTAGAAAATATAATCAGGACACACAACACTTTTCATAAAGCTGTGGGGATTTATAGGTCAACAACAATGCTTATAATTACTCCCAACTCTTAAAGGGACCCTATTAGGTGGTGCTTTTTACAGTACTACGGCTTCCACAGATGACATTTTTTTATGGATTTTTTGTCAAAGCACTTAAGATATTCATTGCTATCGGGATGTTAAGAGCATCGAGCCGGTTTCTCAAACTTACCTACCCCACCTTTAACTGAAAGAAAAAATTAAAAAAACAACACCACCAAAACATCACATGTACAAGGTAAAGTGCAACATCCTCATCTGAGTTCTACTCCAGTAGGACTCAGATGAGGATGTTGCACTTTTCTGTTTTTGTGTTTCTCTTATTTTCCTATAATACTGTAATGATTGGCTGTGAATAACAAAATATGAAAGACAGACCATCTATTTATATGTATTTATTTATTTTGAGAAAGGGGCAGGTAATATAAGATTACTTTCTTCTCCCTGCTCCTTTTCGGGTATGGTGTGTTTATAGAGACATGTTTTGTAAGTAATTGTTATACATTAAGTTGTGCATACCATGAACTGAACAAATACAAATGAAATGAAATATTTGTATTTTGTGCCTCTACTGTGTCATGTTTCCATGCTTTAATGTTCAGAAAGGTCTTTATTTTTCCCATCTGCCTCTTTTCACCCTCTGTCTGAAACCAGAGCCCAGTCTGCTCTGATTGGTTAGCTGCCTGGCTCTGTTGTCATAGTTCAACCACTAAAGCTGGAGCCACACGAGAATGGTAACGGTCGTATCTGCTACAGTTCTCTATCATACAGACGGTTCGACAGGGAAACGCAGATAACGATAACGGGTCCCAAGGTGGGTAAATCTGCGGTCGAAACGCTCTGGGGGGCAAAACGGCTCTGTGTCTACGCCCTATACGATAATTTTCTGATAACGATGACGCAATAGCCCCGCCTCTCCTCACCTCTCCTGCTCACCCCCGTGTCACCCGCGTCATTGCTGATGTGTTTCGCCAACAACATCAACAACAGTTTTCCGAGTGTTTCGATACAGGTCCCGGTATCTCGCAGGACAGTGCACCCTGCTTTTGGTGTATTTTGTGGCGGAAGTACAGCGCCACTTACTGGCCCGTCATATGTACTACAGCGTCTCCAGCGGGTCGAGCGGTCTCGTGTGGAAGGACACGTTTCTGGTGCCTATTACGTGTGGACGGAAGACCTTTTTGATAACGATTTTGGTTTTTTTGCGTTACCGTTTTTGTGTGGCTCCAGCCTAAGACATGTCCCCTTAATCACGTACAGTGTTGGATTGCCAGCCAATCGAAGCGCGAGTGTTTTATAGCGATGCCATGTTGTTGAAGTCAACAAAGGATTCCAATGGAGGTGTTTCAGGCACGGGGGGGGATTTTAGCCTTTGAAAATATATAACACTCTACATGAAAGAGAAAACCTCAAGAAGCATAATAAGGCCCCTTTAATTATGTCAAGTGAGAGAGCTTGTTTGTGCTTTCAGTGTGCTTACCACAGCGGGAGACGGCACATGGATGCTGGCGACTGACCGAGGACAGATGTGATTGGCTAGATGGCAGAGGACCACCCCGTCCATCAGAGCGGCTCCAACATCCTCTGGGAGCAACACCTTCAGTCTGGTCTCAATGTTCTGCAAACACATCCACAATGACCTCATCACATCACTATTTATATACACATGTTCACTCACATGTTTTCAGACACCTCTCTGTTCTTTATTTATTTTATGTTTTTATAGGCAATAATTTAAGCTTTGTTAGTTCCAGGTTTAATATGTGCAAGTTAATTTCAATACGTTTTACAATAAACATTGAACCAGTCCGGCCCTCGACTAGTACCGATTTTTTTATTTTGGCCCACTGTATATTTTAGTTTGACACCCCTGTTATAAAGTAACCTTCTACCACTACAGTGTTTTCATTGTTTGAACTATTACTGAAGATTGACAAAAGTCCCCCTCTATTTCTCTTCACCATAACTATAGTCTCTGTCCCTCTGTTTGTGTCCAACCCCTATATACTTATAATATATATTAATATATATTTCCCTTTCATCCTTCCATGTTTTGAACATCTAAATGAGAATGCCATCATAATGAATGGTGCCAGATAAAGCTGTGTTTTACAGTATTTTCTTTTACCCCAACCTTGCTGCTGCCCTTTGGTAAACAGCTGTGTCTCAACCCCTTTTGTGCCCGAATGGTTCTTGGTGATTGAGTTTCACAAAGTAGAAGAAGTCACATACCACAGGGTTTCACATATCACAGAAGGCGTTGAACCGTTAACATGCAGAAAGCCTCTTTGTGTTTGTGTATGAGGGTAGAACAGGTCCGACAGATAGTGGGCAGAGTCCAATGAGTGTTTGTCACCATGATGGAGTCAGTGGGGAGCAGGGAACACATGATGCTGTTTAGCCTCATTTTGTATCGACAATAGTGATGAATATATTACTGATTATCACAATGAATTCAAAGCAGTTGAAGAATTTGTTGTAAATGATTTTTGACGGACAAAGAGTTGTTCTGCTCTTTACAAATGTGAAATCTGGTCTGTGACTGCTGCTTCTTTTCTGAAAGCAGTTCCCCTTCTGACCTTTTCCCTGGGAATAGAAAGCTGTGTAATCTCTCACCACAACAATGATTTTATTGAGATAGAAAGTTCATCCATGTAAGAGTCAAGACTTGACTGTATGGTCGATGTCAAGGGTCAAGACTTGAAAGCCAACATGGACAAGAAGACCTTGAGATTTTTTTAAATAATGGGAAAATTACTGGGGATTACTTGCAGAATTACAATGTTACTAAAAAACTCGAAAATAGTCAGATTTATGTCTCCTTTAATCTGTAAGCTGTTCTGTTCGGTAGGCTAATACTTTAAGTGTGAATCTATACGCCTACTGTTTGAGCTTGCTTTATGGTTATCACTTTCTTAGGTTCATTTGTTATTTTTGTAATTAGGGTGATCAGTAGGTGAACCCATGTGTTCATAAAATAGTGTATGTATCCATCCATCCATCCATCTTCTTCCGCTTATCCGTGGTCGGGTCGCGGGGGTAGCAGTTCCAGCAGAGAGCCCCAAACTTTCTTTTCCCTGGCGACATCAACCAGCTCTGACTGGGGGATCCCAAGGCGCTCCCAGGCCAGCGAAGAGATATAATCCCTCCACCTGGTCCTAGGTCTACCCCTTGGTCTCTTCCCAGCTGGACGTGCCTGGAACACCTCCCTAGGGAGGCGCCCAGGTGGCATCCTAACTAGGTGCCCGAACCACCTCAACTGGCTCCTTTCGGCGCGAAGGAGGAGCGGCTCAACTCCGAGTCCCTCCCTGATGACCGAACTTCTCACCTTATCCCTAAGGGAGACACCAGCCACCCTGCGGAGAAAACCCATCTCGGCCGCTTGTATCCGCGATCTCGTTCTTTCGGTCATGACCCATCCTTCATGACCATAGGTGAGGGTAGGAACGAAAATGGCCCGGTAGACAGAGAGCTTTGCCTTCTGGCTCAGCTCCCTTTTCGTCACAACGGTGCGGTAAAGCGACTGCAGTACCGCTCCCGCTGCTCCGATTCTCCGGCCCATCTCACGCTCCATTGTTCCCTCACTCGAGAACAAGACCCCGAGATACTTGAACTCCTTCACTTGGGGTAAGGACTCATTCCCTACTTGAAGTGGACAGTCCATCGGTTTCCTGCTGAGAACCATGGCCTCAGATTTGGAGGTGCTGATCCTCATCCCAGCCGCTTCACACTCGGTTGCGAACCGATCCAGTGAGTGCTGAAGGTCGCAGACCGATGAAGCCATTAGAACCACATCATCTGCAAAAAGCAGTGGTGCAATCCTTAGTCCACCGAACTGCAGACCCCCTCCCCCATGACTACGCCTCGAAATCCGATCCATGTATATTACAAACAGGATTGGTGACAAAGCGCAGCCCTGGCGGAGGCCAACCCTCACCGGAAATGGGTCCGACTTACTGCCATAGTGTATGTATGTGAGTTTAACTGTATATTAAACAGAGCATTTTCTGTCAGCTCAGAAGCAGCTTTTTTAAACTGTAGTATGTGCTCATGTGTTTCATTGCTACTGCAATTGTACTGCATATTCAGGCTACTGCCTGAATATGCTTACTGAAAGACAGGTTTTCCTATAAATAAAATCTCTGAACAGAGGACACTTTTTTTGATACTAAATATCTTGTTTTTCTCTTCTTCTAAGGTCACATTGTTCTGTTGTGTTAGTAAAAAAACATCTTGTTGATATTTCTTTCCTTTTGTCTTTATTTGCATTGCATTTGATAACAAGGCAACACAAAAGTAACGGAAAGTAATCCGGTTAAATTACTTTTATATTTTGGTACTCAAATTAGATTACTTTTTTTTTTTTTACAGGCAACTAGTAATTGACAAGGATTACATTTTTAAAAGTAACCCTCCCCATCTTGGTTATCTTATACATGGCATACTCGATCTTTCTGCCTATAACAAAGCGCCTGAAAGCATTATCTGATATATTTTGCTAAATCACATCACATCTCTGTTTTTGTTACTCCCCACTATTTGGGTTACCTTGATCTTATCCTCAAGCTACTATCCTTTGGTTTCATGCCCAGGCTACAGGCTTCTCACATACTTAGGTGTGTCTGACAGTCTCTGACTTGCTGCTGCTTTCACCTCTGTTTTTTCTCTTGGTGCAATTCAGTTTACGATGTCAGTTTGCCTTCACTTTTCTTGTTATGCTGTGGACATACCTGATATTTCACTTCTACTACTATCTATTCAATCTGAATTTAGGCCCAATTCAATGTAATGGACCAGGGTATTATTAACTGATAATCGATAGTATTCCGCAGAGGAAAAAGATGTGACATGAGACTTGTGCAAACTTCACACTTGGCATAATGAACTGTGAGCCCTGCATTGTTTGGTATCCATCCTGCATTACTTCCTTGGAAAATGAAATCTTAAACTCTGTCATGACAGGCAAGTACTGTAGAAGGCTGAGGTTCTCAGGAACAGCATTCAAGGTGTAACCCGCCCGTGGCACAGGCAGCTGACACTATGAAAAATAATCTGAAAAACATGCCCTAAGGCAGGGGTAGGCAACCTTCGGCCCACGGGCCGCATGCGGCCCTTTAAACCCTCTGCTCTGGCTCCCTTGAGCTTAGACAAAAATAAGAAGGAAATAAAATAAAAGTATTTGTAGGACTATTTATATTTTGTTGCATGGTTGAAAATGTTTCGTATCTTGTATTTTGAGGTGATACTGTGACACATAAATACAAAACAAAACGGTTTTAATTAGGTCAACTAAAATATGCGTCACATCCATCTACGGTCCCGCGCGGGCGCCTTTTCTTGGAGGCGAATAACCTGACCCCCGGCTCGATGAGCGAACTATGGATAAATCAAAGAAAAGTACCGGAGGAACACAGGATTTAATTCTGTGTGGACAGAGTTATATGCTTTCACAGCAAACGATGCTGGTTTACCGGTATGTTTGTTGTAAGGTCATATCATTGCATGTTAGTTCACCAGTCCACTAGGTGGCACTGTGACATTGAAGTTGTTGCCGTTCCATAAGCATGAAGGAGGAACTGGGGGCTATGTTGTTATGCTAAGTATGTGATGAACCGGAGTCGCAGCTCGGCGCTACCAGAAACCAATAAACTCCACTATGCTCACCAGAAGCCTCCTGTGAGTTACTACATAATGGCGACGAGGATGGGATTCCGATAGCTGGGGACTGTAGGTTTATTAAAGAAACCTGTCACAAGTGTGGGAAGATAGGCCATATTCAGAAAGTGTGTAGGTCAAAAGGGTGACCAGATGACTCAGTAAGGTTGTGCGGTGATTACAAACTGACTGTAAATCGAGTATCAAAACTGGAGCAGTATCCAATTTCCAGAATTGAGGATTTGTTTGCCAACCTGTCAGGTGGACAGAAGTTCACAAAGCTAGATCTCAGTCATGCATATCACCAAATCCCTTTGGATGAAGAAGCAAAAACATATGTGACCATAAATACACACAAGGGCTTGTTCACGTATAAAGTGTTACCTTTCGGAGTATCATCTAGCCCAGCTATTTTTCAACGGACCATGGAGGGACTGCTACAGGGCATCCCTAGAGTGGCAATATTCTTGGATGACATCCTGCTGACAGGGAAAGACGACAAAGAGCATCTGCAGACTCTTGTCCTTGTGTTAAAACGGCTACAGGAGGCCAGTCTCAGGCTCAAAAGAACCAAGTGTTCGTTCATGAGTGAAGAAGTGATGTTTCTGGGTCATAAGGTGGATGCTACAGGACTGCACCCTGTGCATGAGAAGGTGGAAGCAATCAAGGATGCACCCACACCTTCAAATGTGACAGAGCTCAAAGCATATCTAGGACTGTTAAACTATTATAACAAGTTCCCTCCCAGTCTGTCAACCATCCTTGCTCCAGTGCACAAACTGCTAAAAAAAGACACAAAGTGGCAGTGGGAAGATGCACAACAGACAGCGTTTGAAAAGTCAAAAGACATGATGCAGTCAGCTGAAGTGTTGGTGCATTATGACCCAGAGAAGGACATTGTGCTATCATGTGACGCATCACCATATGGATTAGGTGTTGTGCTCTCACATCGCATGCCAGATG